GCCATTTACATAGAAACTGATAAAATAAATTCATAAGGGATGGTTACAGCACCTTACTGAACAACATCCATACCTTAATAATTTGCTTTGAACTCTTACCAATCAATTATTAACATTAATTACTTTATACCAGTAAAATACAATATGCTAATACTGTGTTCAAGAAATAAAATGAGCTGGTTTAATGTAACTAATAACTTAAGATGATGCTTTGTTAAGGGTATAAAACTTGAAAACATCTTGTAATAAAGTAATGTTGAGTTATTTTGGTTTTTTCCTAGGGTCAGGGTTGGGATTAAATGTGTGAGATGGCATTTTTTGTTTGGATTTAGATGTTTATTAGTTTTTATCTATATTCCAGTTTTATAAGTTGTGACTTTTACAATGCTTCACACTAACAACCTACAAAATGGAGGTGTATTTTTTTTCTATAAGGTTTTTTAAGGATAAATTGTTTCATTAAGGAATGAAACTTAAATTATTTGTATTTTTGACTTAATAATCAACTACTTGTGGTCAGCAATGGGAAGTTTTTTATCCACTTACACAAAACCACCCAAACCCATGGAGAAGGTAAGGGAGGAGAAGGTGAAGGAGAGGAAGGAGAAGAAGAAGAAGAAAAGAAGAATTTAAAAACACTAAAATACGATAATTTAAGAATTTTTATGCTTTATAAACAATATGGGGTTTTTATTTTTAATACCAGGGTGATTCATCTGAAGAAAACCAATGTGACAGTGAGGATTGTGTAAAGAAATCCACACATCGTCTGATTTTATGCAAAGCAATAATTTGCATTTCCCTGAGAAATAAATAGAGGTGGCACCCAAATTTACAAAAACTCTAAAACCAGAGGTCAAAAATAATCTGTGCTCTGAGTTCTTTAATCCTAATGACAGAATATCACAAAGCACAGATATTGTCGATATTTGTGATTTTATTCCTCTCAAAACAGATCCTATCCAGCTGCAACTGCTGAACTAAAAATGGGTATCAGTATCTGAGCTTTAGCTGAAGAAAACATCTTGAGCAAGGCAGGTTCCGTGAGCCAAGCTGGAAATTTGGGATATAAAAGTCTGTGTCTGCAGTGCAATGTTGATTTTATGCCCAAGCAATGCCCCAGATTGCAGAAATATATAAGAAAATAAAGTTATCAAAGGAAATTTTTGATTCCACCCAGCGACTTGATGATTCAGGTGTGTTTTAAAAGATTAAAAGAGAGAAAATCAAACTGAAATGACAAAAAAATGCCATTAAAATAGTCTGGTTTCCTCTTGGTTGTTTTTTTAATCAAGCCACTTTCACTTCACTGCCCTTTAAGTTATTTCTAGAACTTTATGTTTTACTTAAATATTGAAAATATCTACTCAGACACAGACAGAAGTGGCTTCATTCCTGTCATTTATTCAATAGTTTTTAGATCTTCACTGGATTAAATAAAAAACTTGATTTGGTTATTGCAGATCAGGTAGTCTCAGGTTATACCTCAAGATTTTAATGGATAAAACACTGCAGGAAAGGGAATTACTGGCACAAGGAAGGCAACAGTAAATAAATATTTGTTCATTCTGCTCATTTTAGAAAGGTTTAGCTGTAGATTCTGGTTATTTTTATACACACGCTCCAGAACTGAGAGAAAATAAAATAACCCCTAAACAGAACAGAATTCCATTCTTCATCTCCTCCAAGTTTGGGAATCCAAAGGAGATGTTGTTGCTTTGAGGTTTTTAGCAAAATTTGAAAATATTTTTCCTTATTCTTATCCTAAATTTCCTTATCAATGTAGGATGAGGCAAAGGAAGCTGCAGAGAATGAGGAATTTATTTGGAAACAGAGCTGAATTCCTTTATTTGTCTCCTCCAAGTCTGGGAATCCAAAGGAGATGCTGTTGCTTTGGGGTTTTTATTGATTCATTTCCACAAAATTTGATAAAAAACGCACATAAACTGACCAAAATTGAAAATAATTTTCCTTATTTTGACCCTAAATTTCCTTATCAATGTAGGATGAGGCAAAGAAAACTGCAGAGATTGAGGAATTGATCTGGGAAGGAGAGGAAGAATTGTGGGATTATCTGCTTTGGACACAGAAATTAATCCCAGTCGGTTGCTCCTGGCTTCAAATCTGTAAAAATCTCTAAGAATGAATTGAAAAATATTTAAATTTTAAGCCAAACAGGAGGTCGTTGCCATTGCCATTGCCAAGCCAGTAGGTATTCAAATATCTCACTACTAATTCTGGTTATCAGCAAAACTGCATGAAAACTCCTGGATTTCACCAAATTATTGAGGCTGGAAGAGACATTAAAGATTCCCCAGTGCCACCATGAAAATCACCTTTAAATCATTTCCATCAGAGGTGTCTCCTCTGTTTCTCAGTAAGTTGGGAAAAGGGAGAAAAAATTTTAAAAATATCAATATGATTTTTAAAAATATCAATTTTTTAAAAAAATTCTGACGGAGGAATGAACAAAGTATGAAATAATCATATAAGAGGAGATTGAGAAAAAGAAGAGTTTGCTTTCCAAGACACCAAGGGAGGGGTTTTTTCCCAAAAATACCTATTTGGGGAGGAAGAAAAGAGGAGGCTGAGATAATTCTTGCATTTCCAGCATTTGGAGCAGCCCAGGTGCTCCCAGGCACACCAACATTCCCTGAATTCAGAATTTACACTTCTGCCCTGATGGAATCACAGAGACCAGAACCAGGCACAGGCACCAAAACTGAAAAAAATAAAGAAATCCTGAACAAAATCGTAGCAAGAACCCAAAATTCCTCAAGTTTTTTAGGGGCTGTGCTTGGAAAAGGCTGACAGAAACTGGCAGCTGAAATCAATAAATCCAGATAAATCAGCTCTGAAATACAAGTGGGAGCTGCTTTGTGCTGGTTCTGATCTTTGGAAGTTCAAAGGATTGGCCCCGAGGAAGCACAAACTAAAAAAATGGGAATATTTTTGTTTCTGACACAGAAATTACAACACTGAGGTGACAACTTCACACTCCAAGGCTGGGGCCAATATTTCTGTGGGTGACAGCAGAAGAGGACAAGATTTTCCACAAAAAGTCGCTTTTTAAATGAGATTTTTTTCCTTTGCCAAACCCATTTCTGCTCTGCTTACAGTGGAGAATATTAAGTCTGGTTTTGTTGTCCAAGCTTTGAATTTAACAGTTGTTTTAAAATATTCAGAATATCCTTCCATTTCCCAATTAGCTGAGGTTTTGTTGGCTCTTTTCCACACTCAGACCTTGCACTGAGCTGTGCACAGCCAGGCCACCACAAGATTTCTGCAGCCTCAGCAACCATGACAAAATAAAAGAGATGAAACAACCACTGGGCTGAGATAAAAACCCCTTTAAAGCTCCATGGCACAAAAGACTTTGTTTAATTTAAGGTAACATATTCCCTGTAAGAACATTGAATCCTGGATCACACTTTTGAGTTCCTGCTGCTCTCCCGTTTGAGCTTCGAACAGGATAAAATAAAATAAAATAAAATAAAATAAAATAAAATAAAATAAAATAAAATAATAAAATAAAATAAAATAATAAAATAAAATAAAAAGCTCCATGGCAAAAGGCATTATTTAATTTAAGGTACCTTATTCCCTGTAAGAACATTGAATCCTGGATCACACTTTTGAGTTCCTGCTGCTCTCCCGTTTGAACTTCGAACAGGATAAAATAAAATAAAATAAAATAAAATAAAATAAAATAAAATATAAAATAAAATAAAATAAAATAAAATAAAATAAAATAAAATAAAATAAAATAAAAAGCTCCATGGCAAAAGGCATTATTTAATTTAAGGTACCTTATTCCCTGTAAGAACATTAAATCCTGGATCACACTTTTGAGTTCCTGCTGCTCCCCCATTTGAGCTTCGAACAGGATAAATAAATAAAAATAAAAATAAAAATAAAAATAAAAATAAAAATAAAAATAAAAATAAAAATAAAAATAAAAATAAAAATAAAATAAAAAGCTCCATGGCATAAAGGGTGTTATTTAATTTAATGTACCTTATTCCCTATAAGAACATTAAATCCTGGATCACAGTTTGGAGTTCCTGCTGCTCCCCCATTTGAGCTTTGAATAGGATAAATAAAAATAAAAATAAAATAAAAATAATAAAATAAAAATAAAAAGCTCCATGGCACAAAAGGCATTGTTTAATTTAAGGTACCTTATTCCCTATAAGAACATTTAGTCCTGGATCACAGCACTGAGTTTCTGCTGCTCTCCTATTTGAGCTTTGAACAGGATAAATAAAAATAAAAATAAAAATAAAAAAATAAATAAAAGCTCCATGGCACAAAAGGCATTATTTAATGTAATGTACCTTATTCCCTATAAGAACTTTAAATATATAAATCCTGGATCAAAGGGGAGTTTCTGCTGCTCCCCTATTTGAGCGTTGAACAGGATAAATAAAAATTAAAATTAAAATTAAAATTAAATTAAAATTAAAATTAAAATTAAAATTAAAGCTCCATGGCATAAAAGGCATGATTTAATTTAAGGCACCTTATTCCCTGTAAAAACATTGAATCCTGGATCACAGTTTTGAGTTTCTGCTCCTCCCCCATTTGAGCTTCAAACAGTATAAATAAAAATAAAAATGAAATGAAAATAAAATAATAAAAATAAATAAAAATAAGCATAAACAAAACACCAAAATGAAACATAAAATAAAAATAAAAATAAAATATAACTATAATTATGACTATAACTATAACTGTAACTATAATAAAAATAAAAATAAAAATAGAAATAGAAATAGAAATAAAAATAGAAATAGAAATAGAAATAGAAATAAAAATAAAAATAAAAATAAAAATTAAAATTAAAATTAAAATTAAAATAAAACCATAAATAAATGTAAATGTAAATGTAAATGAATTTATGGATTCATGGAATGCTTTGGGTTGCGATTTGGTACATTTCAATCCGGAATTGGGGTTTTTTTTTATACTTTTCCAGTGTGTTTTAATCTCAGAAGTACCTTGCAGGAGGTGAGGATGCAGGGGCTGGTGGGCAGTGAGGACAGCAGTCATCTCATCGTGGTCCGAGGGGTGGATGTACTCATAAATGCTGTTTCCAGTCAGCTCCACCTGGGGAGAAACCATGGGATAAAAGCAGCTGGGTCATTTTCTGCCCTCAAACACTCCAGTGTTAAAACATGAGCTGGGTGTATCAAAAGCATCTCCCAAATCACAGCCATTAATCCCAATTAATTCTTTCCTCAGCGGTGATTGATGTCGGAGAGGTTTGTGTGGGAATTTCTGGTGTTGCATCAGGGACAGAGGAGCTCCTGTTAGAGCTGGGGATGAAGTGATAAATTAGAGCAGCTGTAGAAAAGTTAAATTGCCACAAACGGGAGGAAAACTCCGAGCTGTAGAAATGCCTCTCAGGAAGGCAAATATTCAAATAAAAATGATGTTCCTGCAGGTTCCCAGAAACTCTCACCTGCTCTCACACAACCCCTTTGTGTTCTCCCACCAGCAGCAGGGCCAGAATGACTTTTGCTGAAGATATTCGAGGAACAGGGGTTTGGAAGTGGTTTTTATGGGTTTACATCCTTGTTTTCTCTACCTCTTCAGCTCTATTTTCTCTCATAGCCACTAATTCTAAAATCACTGTTATAAATACATGTCAAGTCTTAATTTCTTTTTTCACCAAGGTCAGGATTAAATGTGTGAGAGGGTATTTCTTGTTGGCACTCAGATGTTGATCAGTTCTTATCTCTGTCACAGTCTCACAAACCCTGAGTTCTGCAGCACTTCACTCCAACAAACTAAAAATGGAGCCCTGCCTCTCTCTCCAAGGCCTTTGAGGGATAAACTGTCCAATTAACAAATGACACCTCAATTATTTTCACTTTTAACCCAATAACCAACCACCCGTGCCCACAATGGGGACTTTTTTATCCAATAACACAAAACCACCCAAACCCATGGAGAAGGAGAAGGAGAAGAAGAAGTTGAAGAAGAAGGTGAAGAAGGTGAAGGTGAAGAAGAAGAAGAAGAAGAAGAAGGAGGAGGAGGAGGAGGATGTGAAGAAGAACAAGAAGGTGAAGAAGAATGAGGAGAAGGAGGAGAAAAAGGAGAAGAGGAATGTGAAGTATAAGGAGGAGAAGGAGATGAAGGAGAAGGAGAAGGAGAAGGAGAAGGAGAAGGAGAAGGAGAAAAGGAGAAGGAGAAGGAGAAGAAGAAGAAGGAGCAGCCTCCACCCCAAACCCTCCATCTTGCTTTCTCTCTATTCCTGTATTCTAAACCCTTAAACTCTGAGTTTCCCACCCTGTGATCTCACACACTTCTATCCAAACTCCACCCCCACAATCCCAGTTCTGCCATTCCATTCTGGAAGCTTCTCCAGGCCCTCAGGTCAGTGCAGTGTTCTCTGGGGGTCAGAGCCTGGCAGCACAGAAAGTCCCAAATTCTCAGCACCCAGGGTTCCAACAAACACAAACACAAACACACATCCAAAGATCTCCACTTTTGTTTTGTTTTTTTTTTCAATTAAAAATACAGATTGCTACAAAAATTAAGGTACACAAATGGCCTCTGAGAGAACCCAAAAATCAGATTTCCATGGATATTCACTGCTCTGAACAAAGACTCACAGCGAAGATCTGCCTTAAATATTTGTGTATTCCCTGTCCTGCCCTGAGCTTTGCCTGCACAGGATGTGCTCCTGCCTTTCCCACTGCTGACAGAGGCACAGAAAACCAAAAAGGGCCTCGTGCCCCCCGTGTCCCCTCTGCCAGCTCTGCCTGCCACCTCCCAAACCCCCCAGAAAGCTGCAGGAATGGATTTAAGGGGGAAACAGAACCGAATTCCTTTATTTATCTCCCCCAGTTCTGGGAATCCAAATAAGATGCTGTTGCTTTGCGGTTTTATTGATTAATTTCCACAAAATTTGAAATAAAACACACATAAATGGACCAAAATTGAAAATAATTTTCCTTATTCCTATCCTGAATTTCCTTGTCTATGTAGGATGAGGCAAAGAAAGCAGCAGAGAATGAAGAATTGGTCTGGAAACAGAGCTGAATTCCTTTATTTATCTCCTCCAGTTCTGGGAATCCAAAGGAGATGCTGTTGCTTTGCGGTTTTTATTGATTAATTTCCACAAAATTTGAAATAAAACACACATAAATGGACCAAAATTGAAAATAATTTTCCTTATTCCTATCCTGAATTTCCTTGTCTATGTAGGATGAGGCAAAGAAAGCAGCAGAGAATGAAGAATTGATCTGGAAACAGAGCTGAATTCCTTTATTTATCTCCTCCAGTTCTGGGAATCCAAAGGAGATGCTGTTGCTTTGAGGTTTTTATCAATTAATTTCCACAAAATTTGATACAAAACACACATAAATGGACCAAAATTGAAAATAATTTTCCTTATTCCTATCCTGGATTTACCTTACAATGCAGGATGAGCAAAGAAAGCTGCAGAAAAGGAGGAATTGATCTGGGAAGAACAGGAAGAATTGTGGGATTATCTGCTTTGGACACAGAAATTAATCTCAGTCAGTCGCTCCTGGCTTTAAATCTGTAAAAATCTCCAAAAAATGAATTGAAAAATAACGAAATTTGAAGGAAAACAGGAGAGTGCAGGGTCTGAGATGAGTCTCAGTTGCTCTGGGCTGCCCCGTGTGCCTCGGGCCCCCGGATCAGAGAGGGGCAGTAATTGGAGCCACTCTTTGAGCCCATCCCGCTCCTCTCTCAGATCCTGGCAGCTGCCTTTTCTTTGCAGTAAATGAAGTTGTCTGCCCTCACAAAGCAATCTTTTTTTTTCTTTCTTTTTTCTCCCTGAAAATGTTCCTCATCCTTCCATTTTCTGCATTATTCATGGAATGTCCCTTCCCAGGGCTGTGCAAATTTGCTTTTTTTTTATTTCCCCCTCTAAGCATCTCTTCCTCCACTGCTCCTTTCCAACAGCCCCTCCCTGCAAACACAAAAACATCAACAGGGAGCTGATCTCGTAACCAGGCTGAAAATGCACTGAGGTAGGAAAAAAAGAGGAAAAAAATATAAGGAAAGGGGAGATGGAGAAGAGAAAGAAAGAGAGAGTGAAAGGAAAATAAATGAGAGGGAGGGAAGGAAGGAAGGAAGGAAGGAAGGAAGGAAGGAAGGAAGGAAGGAAGGAAGGAAGGAAGGAAGGAAGGAAGGAAGGAAGGAAGGAAGGAAGGAAAAGGAAAAGGAAAAGGAAAAGGAAAAGGAAAAGGAAAAGGAAAAGGAAAAGGAAAAGGAAAAGGAAAAGGAAAAGGAAAAAAGAAAAAGAAAAAGGAAAAGGAAAAGGAAAAGGAAAAGAAAGGGAAAGGGAAAGGGAAAGGGAAAGGGAAAGGGAAAGGGAAGGGAAGAAGGGAAGGGAAGGGAAGGGAAGGGAAGGGAAGGGAAGGGAAGGGAAGGGAAGGGAAGGGAAGGGAAGGGAAGGGAAGGGAAGGGAAGGGAAGGGAAGGGAAGGGAAGGGAAGGGAAGGGAAGGGAAGGGAAGGGAAGGAAAGGAAAGGAAAGGAAAGGAAAGGAAAGGAAAGGAAAGGAAAGGAAAGGAAAGGAAAGGAAAGGAAAGGAAAGGAAAGGAAAGGAAAGGAAAGGAAAGGAAAGGAAAGGAAAGGAAAGGAAAGGAAAGGAAAGGAAAGGAAAGGAAAGGAAAGGAAAGGAAAGGAAAGGAAAGGAAAGGAAAGGAAAGGAAAGGAAAGGAAAGGAAAGGAAAGGAAGAAAAAGATGGAATGGGGAAGGTGATTATCTACATTGCTTCATTTATGTCATTTTCTCTAAATTTGCCCTTAAAAAGCTCTGGCTGCTCCTTTTGCAGGAACACCCCACATCCAATTTCTTGTCAGAGGGGAAGGAAAACACAAAATCTCCCTGTGGGTCCTGCCTGGAAATTCTTCTGTTTATTTCTAATTACAAGGGGACAAACATCCTGCAAGTGTCCAGAGGTGTCTTCATAAATATCCTGATCACCTACATTAAAAAAAAAAGTCTAAAAATTCTTCTGATGATGGACATTTCATTTTCAGAACAGGGCAAAATTGCCATTCTGTGGTCAGTGTCCAAAGGAGCATCACTCACAAACCTCTTCTCATTATTTTATCTTTGGTTAAGAGTGATTTTTTTTTTCACTGAATGTTTTGCCCTTGGAATGAAAGCGCCATTTTTAGCAGAGAATTTCCCTTCCAAAAGAAGAAGGAAAAAAAAATAGAATTCATGGGTGGCTGTGTATTAATTCCCTATAAATAAACAAACAAACAAATATATAAATAAATAAATTTTATATTTATATATAACCCTATAAATATCCCTTTAATTTAGGGGATTTCTGACATAAAAAAAAAACCCCAATCAAGCTGACCAACCTCATCAGCTGCAGTTGATATTTTCTCTTAAAAACTGTAACTCATGGATGGTTCTTGCTTTTCCCAAACTCATCACCTGTTTTTAAACGATTCCTCATGGAAATTCACATTTTTCCACAGGATTCAAAGGGTCAAAGGTCACCGTTTTATCCAAAATTTCACTTTTTTGTCCCAGGGTTTATGTCTAAAATTCAAGCCGAAAATCCTTTGTGTAATAATGACTGGTTCTCCTTGTTATAATCACTGAAAAGGTTTTTTATTCTGATGGGTTTATTTGCAACCCCTGGAAAATCAGCAGGAGCAAAGGTGCAACACTGGCTGTGGGGGTTTTGGTGAATTTTGAATGAGTTAGGGATGGGAACTCTGAGCTTCTTCAGGTGATGTGATTTATTTTTCTTATCTTCTACACAGGCAGGAAGGGTGAGCTCAGCTCACATCTTCACTGCATGGTCCAGAAGGTCACAAAAACACGAATGACAAGATTTTTTAAGGACTTATTGACCAATAAGACACTGCCAACGTGGATATTTATGGTTTTGACCCAACCCTTCAATATTTCATCTCATGGACCCATGTTACAGTGTGAGCTTTCTTAGCCAGTCATGTTCTGACACACAAACCCACAGTGCTGCACTCTGAACTCCTTGTTTACCTCTGGAACTGCTTTCATTTTTATATCTTAAACTCTAAAACTCCAAACTTTCCTTTCCTTAGCTTAACCTTGGCTTTAAACCTTGGCTTTAACCAT